GGTGTCCTGGGGAAAAGACTCCCTATTACTTCACATGCTTACCTCAAATATGAGAATGATATGAATAGGAAAGTCATGCCAGCTCAGACTTAGCCTACATTAACAAGGTCCTCATGAGATTTGGGGGAATTAAGACAATGTCAGAGTGTGCACAGTCTTATTGCACTGAGCTAACCCAGAAGTAAACACAGTAAATGGTGGTTTGTATTATATGGTGGTTTATCTTACACTATCTACAATATCATACATCAGAATTCAATTTGATCACAGATTCAGTCATAGGGCACAATGAGGAAAGATTAAAACTCCTGAAGCTACTTCATATTTAATGATTAATTCATTAGGGAGAAGAAAGAGAGAGATTTAGCAGAATAGGGGGAAAATGGCATCTTCTGTCCACCTACTGCCTGCTTGTGGGTCATTTAGAAATAGACAGAAGCTCAGATTTGGCCCTGAAGCCATAGTTTGCTGACCACTGCTTTTAGGCATTAAAACATGAACACCAAGCACCAAAATTTTGCTCATGTGACCATGGAAGTGATGCAGTGCGTGTAACTTCAGGGACTGAACCTAAGTTGCATTTGCTCAGTGCCATTATAACTTCAAACAGCTGCTGAATGAGTGGTCTAAATTCGAGGACTACTTGTATAACAGTAAAATCACAGTTAATCACATACTCTACATGATGTGCAAATGAAAGCAGTGTGGCATTTTGTAATTGACAGCTGGAAACATTGACAATGCTCAGATTTATTAAGTGCCCTTCAAGATTTTGGGGAATGGCACCCAGTTTATGCCATAATCTTTCAACTTCAATTTTCAATTCTTGATACTATGTGATACTATTACTATCTCCATTAATGAATGGGTAGAAAATTTTCTTATAAGGCTGAAATTAGAGATTTTGCCTCTAGTGTACAATTTGAGCTTTGTATCTGCTGATCTTCTTGGCTATAGTTGCTATTATATACACAGCAATGTGAAATCACCCCTGCAGTTCTTTAGCTTTTATTGGCCTTCATACGCATCAAGTTCTTCCCTAGAACCTAGGATGCCAGAATGTATTGTGTAGTATACATGATGTGCAGATGAAAGCAGTGTGGCATTGTGTAATTGACAGCTGGAAACATTGCCAATGCTCAGATTTATTAAGTGTCCTTCAAGATTTTTGGGAATGGCACCCAGTTTATGCCATAATCTTTCAACTTCAATTTTCAATTCTTGATACTATGTCATCTTATCCAACCCTTTTTGTTTTTTAATTCTAATTCTTCTTACATGGGGTTAATCTACAGTTACATTGACTGTCTAAGACTGGTGAAACCTAGCAGTTAAAGTCCTAACCAAGAACCTAAGAACAATTAAGGTAACATCTAAGAATATAAGCAGTTCCAAACCTGATGGGTATTTTGCATTCATTGTTTATGTCAACTTTTTAAAATATAATTCAAAACAGTGAATGTTACTGCGTGCTATTTTCCCCAGAACAACAACCCTGTGAGGTGAATTGGGTTGAGAGAGAAAAAATTTGAAGCTATACTTTAATTAAAGGAAATTGAAATTGCATTTGCTTTCTTTTGTCTTAGAATCAGTTTGCAACCAAGTATAATCTGCCCACCCACCCCATTTTTAGAATTAATTACTATTACTGTGTCAGGTATGCTGTGATTGTGAATTCTGTTCCTTAATTGCATTCATTTATAGTAATATCTACTAAATTTTTGTACCTTATTATTGCTGTGAAATCTGTTTATGTCTTCTAGGTAATAATTTTCCTATCCAGTTTGGATAATACAGAGAAAAGTACAGGACTCCCAATTAAATCTAGTTAGTTCCTGCTCAATATTTCACTCAAGTTTAATGAGTGATGGACATTTTTTCAAGTTAGTCTCCATGCAGCTTATATATTAATAACATGCTAGTCAGAGTGAAGTACTCTGCCAGCTGCTTGGTAAAAAAAATATCAAGATATCTTTACAAAATTCTTACAGTCTACTGTGTGAAAAAAAATAGATAAGGCAAATCAGGTTTGTGGTAATTATGTTTAATGATAAATCTTTTTATGTTCACAGTACGTACTCTAAAACTGTCCAGAGTATTGAAGTCGGAATGACTGGTTTATATCTTGTTGCATTTTCCTTTTCCTCCTTTTTGAAGATAGGAATAACAGTAGATCTCCTCCAGTCATCTGCAGTTCACTGGGATTCTCTCGTGGTTAGAAGGCTGGATTGGAGGTTAGCAAGCCCACATTCAGGACCAGGAATGTGAAAGGAACCCCCAACTGGGCATCCCCTGGTGATCTCTTCCCCTAATCCTTTCAATCCGGAAGCACCTCAATGCTTCTGACACAAGTGTGACGTGACCAGGATTTCTCAAACATAATTCATAAGAGTGTGAAATTTAGTCTCATGTTGGAGATTGTCCTCAAAACTGGGTCTTAGCTTGACGTCGAAGCCAACTGAGCACCAAGCACAAGATGTGGAACAAAAAAAGACTTTTATTTTGGTACCAAGATGAAAGGAGCCCTGGCTTTAAAAGCTACCAAGGCCCCAATTACAGTTTTACAACAGTTTTATAATCAAAGATGATTCACATACATCCCTTCACCCTCCCAATACAACCCTTTGCCTCCCCCTAATAATACATGCATAACACATAATATTGATTGGTTACCTGGATTGCAGCCCCCTAAAGCTTTCTTGCTTACTATGCAAAATAGCTATATGTCACTCCATCTATTGCCCACTTCAGGTCACAGGTATCTTCCAAAGCTTCTTGTTTCCTGAGTTAGCTATGTGGTTTTGGGTTTTCTTGTAAGTGATCTATTCATCATCCTAGCCAACATCCTGGCTAAGTGGTTTCTGACAGATGAACCTGCTCCTGTAGCCCCCTCC